CTTCGTGAATAATATATTGCGATATAAATAGTCTTTTTGCGATAAGTTTACGGAGCTTTCCATTGATATACTTTACGCGTAGTCTACAGTATAAGCAAATTAAAATGAAGTATTCAGTAATTACGTGTGGTATTAGTGATACGTAATGCGCCCAGTGGTTAAATACCAGCGCTGACGGTATGCCATAAATAATTAGGTCTAACCAGTCATAACACAAAAATAATAATATAATTGAAATTATTATGAAATTTTGGCGTATATTTTGAACCATAAAATCAAACAAAAAGTGTACATACTTTGCGGTTAATATAAATTGTTTTACATATTTCTTATCACAAATACCTAGGACTTTTAAAACACGTTTGCCAGCTAATACATCAAATATTATTAGCCAGCACATTAATGATTTTTTCGCATATAATAATATAACACAATAACCAAGATCGCATAATGATACTACAATGCAAATGAAATATAATAGCACTAATTGACCACCAAACTTTTGTACAATATCGAAACAGTACCAGGTTACAATACCTTTACTTATATCAGTTACATAAATGTTAAATATGTACCTGATTGCACTTAAAATTAAATATACAATTATGAATATGCATTTAAGTTTGCTATTATTGTAACTATCTAAACAAGCACTATTATAAAATATGCCATTTGTAAATATTTTATAAATGTCACTGATACATTGATCATGTGGTAAAAGTTTATTTAAATTTAGTTCACTTTGCTTTAATAATTTAATAGTATTATATGTTTTTGAAAAATTATACATTTTGCCTAGATATTATAAAAACTTATAATTTATAAATAATATAAACAAAATAATTTTCAAATGTTATAAGTTTGACACAAAATTTGCACTTTATATTAATTTCTATAATATAAATTATTAATATTATAAGGTCAATTTAAGTAGATTAATTTATATATTTAGATAATAGTATAATAAATATTAAGTAGAGCAATAAAGTATAATTAATATGTTCATGAGTTTGCATAATTATTTTTACAGATACTTTATGAAAAATAAAAATATAGTACTAATTGTTAATCAATATATTAGTTAGCTAAATGTTATTATTATATAAATTATTAACACTAATCTATAGGTATTGTAAATAACATAATAATATTATAATTAGTATTGTTTAGATTATTAAAGGTCCATTAACAAAGTGCATAAAATTGTATTTTTATTGTTATTATTAATAATTTATTTTTATACAGTATATATTTATAAAACATTGCATTAAATTGAGACATTAAATATAAATTAGATTTATTCATATTCAAACTTTCAAAACTGCTTATTTTAACTATCATAAATTATTAAACTTTAATTCGCTTGTTATTGACAATAATTATTTGAACATATTTCATATGAATTTTGAATTTGTATACCCGGATCATGTTGACCGGCCCCCTAAAGATCATTTTTATCTAGATCTATTTTATAATACAGTTTATTCAGTATAAGCAAACCTATTATTTATTTAAAATGTTAGTTATCAATGTGAGTCATTTTATATGACAGTAATGCACTTTCTTTTATGTTGTTATATTATTATGTTTTAAAAACATATAACAAAAGCCATTTAGTACACTTGTCACCTAGAACATTCATGTTCAAGTGGGATATATGTATTTCATTTCAATATACCTATAACATTACTAATTGTATAAGTTTAATTTTCGGTACGTCTATGACCTTGGGAATATATTACAAATAATTACAAGTATTTTAAGTGTAGATAAAATGATTAGATAACAGACACAAATAATTTTTGTTGTAGTAGATTAATGTTTGAAAATCTCCTTTTTATGACATTATCACTTAACAAATGCATTTAGTAAAGTATATTGATACATTATTATAATTTCCAAATAAATACTCAAGCATCCCACAGTAAGTTATATCACCATTTTAGATGTTTTGCGAGAACTATGAAATAACCGATTATTTAAAAAATATAAATCAACTAAAATTACTTTAACAAGTTCATATTGAGTGCAAATCATAAATAGTATATAAACTCAAAAATTTTTAATGTAATTTACTATTTTAATTTATTGATATTTTAATGTCAATGATAGTTTAACTTGAACTAAGCTAGTGATGATGTTCAGAAACTGCATAATTGCCTTTTCATTGCTTATATGTGTGGGACAAATAAGTTGTGTCAGCAAGCAAAATCTTTTCTGTTTCTACGAGAGTTGGTGTATGTATTACTTATTATAGAATCTATAATAGTTTATAGTCTATAACATAGACGCCCAAAATTTTAAAAATCCCCAAAATAGTGTTTTATAATAATATTAAAATTTTTAACTATTCAAAACACTAATATTTTCTGATTTAAGTGTGACTAAGATTTGTATTGAAAACATTTTTATTTATTAAACAAAAAATTATATATAAATGATTAAATTACAAATTCGTAAGAGATTTCTAAACATACAATAAAAATATTTGAGAAAGTAAGTCATATATGAAAAACTAAGTAATATTCATTCATATTTAACTAAATGCTACCTTAATCTTTAATCTATACTATAAACTTTAAAATACTAGTGTTGTGTATACTCAAAAAAACTAAGTAATATTGATGAGTATTTAACTAAATGCTACCTTAATCTTTAATGTATACTATAAACTTTAAAATACTAGTGTTGTGTATACTCAGCCTAAATAATAATATATTGTAAATGCATACATCACTAGTTGGTTTCTGGAAACCATATCTGTGCGTCTAAGGTCTATAATATAGACTATTTTCTTCATCTATGAAAGTTACTTTTATATCATTACAGTTTCTGATGCCTCGCACGGCAATGGTACCATGATGGTTAAAGATATTGGTGAATTGATTTCAAATTTTAAACTTGTACATTGTAAATTAACTATTTATTTTATATAAATATTTAAAAATTTATAGATAATTCAGTATGCACACACCGAGTTTATGGTTATGTGAGTGTTACACCTAAAGCCGATTTAATGGCAATGGAAGAACCCCTTATTAAATATTATGGTCAGTATTATTGGGCATATAAATAATAATATAATTATATCATAAAACTATTTATTATCTAATGCGAAATTATTTTTTAAAACATATACTAGGCCAATCAAAGGGAAAAGCATTGTCTCTAATAGCCATCGGCGGTAATCACAGTATGTCAGAGTCCATGAAGTACGCGGTCGAGCAACCACAACTGTTTACAATAAACGTGATTTCATATTTGAACCAAAATAACCTCGATGGTCTGGTTGTCGACACGAGTATGTGGTTTCCCCGGGATAATGTTCCTGGGTACGTTAACCTGATGGCTACACTTAGAAAGGTTTTCGGTACTAAATATGTACTGGCAGTTATTGTTGGCAGAAGTGATAAACTAGATGTAATAATAGAATTAAACTACGTAATTAGGTAAGCTTATATTTTTAAAATTTGCTTTCATTAATATAATAGTAATTTAGATATACTGTAAATATTTTGGAAATGTGTATAATATATAAATATATAACTTTCAATTTAAAAATATTATTTAATTATTTATTAACTGAATACTGTACATCAAAATATTTCAATTGAATAATATAATTTTTTAAATAGCCATGCCGATTTTGCTATCGTNTACCGCCGTAATAATGCGTTAGAAAAAATTAAAGCAGAAATTACCAATTGGAAAATTAACTCGACATTGGGAACTAATTATGAGTAAAAATGTTTATTAATTATAAAACAAATATTTAAAATTAAAAATATATTATTAGCACTTTGGTACCGATAATCCGATTATTACAGCCCAATGCACCGTCGGATTGTTACCTATGGCCGGTTTGGAGGCTGGCTAATTTAACCAGGGTTCAAAGTATGAACTATAACAAAATTAATTTAATTGAGAATGTAAAACTAACATATTAACTCTGCATATTGAAATGAATAATAAATAATTTATATGATTGTTTTGTATACTAATAATATTTACATTTTAATACACAAATTAACTCTAATATATTTAATGCATATATTTAGGCTCAAAATACTGTCCACTTTTGCAAACCGAGAATGGATTACAAGTATTGGAGAATTTAATTGGGAGGTCAGACGTAACCCAAATGGTGAAACAACTGGCCATACTTACGCTATACCAGTGCGAATTGCACATAAATGACCGTGATGCTATCAGTGACCTAGAGTCAAGCGATAGTATAGCTGTACCTGCTGAGTTTTTACGACGCAAACAAATTGTCCTTTGAACAGCAAAAATATTTTATGAAATGAAATTTTAATATGGTGATTTTGATTTGGTTGAAATTAGTTTGGCTGAAACATATAAAAATATAATTATTTTTTTCATTCCACAATTTGACAATTTAACAAATTATATTAATAATAATTTAAAACACACAATAACAATTATAAATGTTGTGCGTATAGCTAAAATATACAAATATATATATATATTATTAGATTTAATTGAAAAATTTTGAATAGTGCCACTAATTAATTTTAGTTAATCGAGTTTTAATTGATCATTATAATAAACATTTTGCTAAACTATTAATTTAGGATGCTTATAACGAAATTTTTATTTCTTTAAAATACTTAAAATAATTGACAATCTTGTTTAACATAAATTTCAATTTGACAATAAACAAGTTTAAATAAATTTAAAACCAATTTCCAAAATAAATTCAATTTAAGGATGAAGTCCTTTATTAACGGCGGTTAGTAACGGGTGTCTCATAGGGGACGCCAATGCGTTAAAGTCGTCGTTATTGATGGCCATAGCCGCCACACCGGCAAACCAAGTAGACACCCATTTAGCCTTTGCCTCACACGATGCCGGGGTTTCGAAGGACACCCATTGGTCACCCTTTGTGGCGTATTGCCAACTATTATCAATGGAAGTCGAAATAACCCATCCGGCAGAATCATTTTTAAATGCCAATGCCAACTACAAATATATTTTTAAGATTAATTACAATTAAATGACAATTTGTATAATTTGTAATTTATATTTATAAGGATCTATAAGATTTGTTTGAATACCTCGTTGTATCCAAGTTTACCCGCATTTGCGGAGTACGGTCCCGCACGACCAGGTCCATTAGCCGGGGCACCTTCCCCATTTTCCTTTTTATTCACTAATGTCCATGAGCGTCCAAAGAATGGCAAGGTCATCTAGATTAATATATAACATAATATATATTTTACACTAGAAATCAGATTGCTTCTATCAGCATGTAACGTATTTAAAATTAATGATATAACTTACGATTAATTTAGTACTGGGTGCTCCATTCAAGACCCAATCATACATTGTTTGCGTCTAAGAAATTTATAGAGTATTAATAAATATTTTATTTTAACCATGGTTATAGTAAAAATATATGTACTTGATTTAAGAACGATGATGCGTGTCCAGTTTGTTTTTCCCATGAACCGTGATAATCGTAAGTGTTAACGATAGCAAAATCGGCATGGCTATTTAAAAAATTATATTATTCAATTGAAATATTTTGATGTACAGTATTCAGTTAATAAATAATTAAATAATATTTTTAAATTGAAAGTTATATATTTATATATTATACACATTTCCAAAATATTTACAGTATATCTAAATTACTATTATATTAATGAAACAAATTTTAAAAATATAAGCTTACCTAATTACGTAGTTTAATTCTATTATTACATCTAGTTTATCACTTCTGCCAACAATAACTGCCAATACATATTTAGTACCGAAAACCTTTCTAAGTGTAGCCATCAGGTTAACGTACCCAGGAACATTATCCCGGGGAAACCACATACTCGTGTCGACAACCAGGCCATCGAGGTTATTTTGGTTCAAATATGAAATCACGTTTATTGTAAACTGTTGTGGCTGCTCGACCGCGTACTTCATGGACTCTGACATACTGTGATTACCGCCGATGGCTATTAGAGACAATGCTTTTCCCTTTGATTGGCCTAGTATAGATGTTTTAAAAAATAATTTCGCATTAGATAATAAATAGTTTTATGATATAATTATATTATTATTTATATCCCCAATAATACTTACCATAATATTTAATAAGGGGCTCTTCCATTGCCATTAAATCGGCTTTAGGTGTAACACTCACATAACCATAAACTCGGTGTGTGCATACTGAATTATCTATAAATTTTAAAATATATATATATATAATAATTAGTTGAATTAAAGTGTACTAGTTTAAAATTTGAAATCAATTCACCAATATCCTTAACCATCATGGTACCATTGCCGTGCGAGACATCAGAAACTGTAATGATATAAAAGTAACTTTCATTTATGATTAAAATAGTCTATAATAAGTAAATACATACACCAACTCTCGTAGAAACAGAAAAGATTTTGCTTGCTGACACAACTTATTTGTCCCACACATATAAGCAATGAAAAGGCAATTAAGCAGTTTCTGAACATCATCACTAGCTTAGTTCAAGTTAAACTATCATTGACATTAAAATATCAATAAATTAAAATAGTAAATTACATAAAAAAATTTTGAGTTTATATACTATTTATGATTTGCACTAAATATGAACTTGTAAAGTAATTTTAGTTGATTTATATTTTTTAAATAATCCGTTATTTCATAGTTCTCGCAAAACATCTAAAATGGTGATATAATTTACTGTGGGATGCTTGAGTATTTATTTGGAAACTATAATAATGTATCAATATACCGTATTCCCGCACATCCACCGGCATGCCGATATAAAGTGAGGTTGATGAGACTGCCGTTATACCCCGGGGTATACCGGCATGCCGTTATAAGTGAGGTGTAAAACATGTTTTGAAATTTAAATTTCAATAAACTAAAATTCACAAATAAGTGTATTAAATTTTATAAATTGAATTATAAGTGAATTAATATTAATATCTTATTAATATCTAAAAAGGTGGTCATTAGATTAAGAAAGTGAAAGGTTTATTCATTCTAAATGCTTTCTATTCACCGTGTCAAATAGTTTTATACTATAAAGTACCCAATTATTAAACACATTTTTGTAAATTTGTGAAAGAAATAACTTACTAAACAGTTGATTAGTTATTTTGATAAGCTAAATTAATCATTTTTCATTTTTGTCAATAGAAATATTTTTAAACTCAATTTATTTTGCCTCACTTTACAACGGCATGCCGGTAGGGTATCATAAAGCCATTTTTGTAAAAATGATCAACCTCATTTATAACGGCATGCCGGTGGATGTGCGGGAATACGGTATTAATAATAACATTAGCTTTAAATTTGAATACCTAGATCCTCTCAGCATGGTGAAAATGTAATATGCTTGGCGCAATCCCACTCAATTATAAGAAACACAATGACCCTGGACTTTGCCGATAAACGTATCTATTGGATAGAATACCGTTCCCTAAGCCTATCCCTTAATCGAGTAGTCAGCATATCATATGATGGCACCGGTAGGGCAGTAGTCCTACCATACCGGACCCTATTCCCTGACCCTACGCTAACTTTATTAGATTTATTTGATGATTACCTGTATATCGCTAATAGCGATAACAATACAATGTTCAGGGTAAATAAATATAAATCAGGTAATGGTTCTATTGAGGTTGTCCCAATATATAGGGCCAAGGGTATTATAAAATTGTTTAAAATTATGGATAAATCACGTCAACCAAATTCCACTAATAAGTGCCTTGCTCATAATTGTGACCAAATATTTTTGCCGATTAATGATGGTTACCCGGAATACGCATGCAACACAAGCCTAATACAAACTAATAATGATACAAGCTGCATTTTCCCAGTAAATATAATTACACATAATGTGTATTATAACTGACTTGTTGACTTATTGAAATATTAAAATATTTTATTTTAAAATATAGACCACCTATCAGATTGTAGGTATATCTCGGACTCATTGGATTTATACTGCCTTGGTGATTACAATATATTTTATCATAATTACTGGATTCATCATGTATATGTGTTGCAGTACTAGAGGGTATATTTATAATACATATAATTTTATAATTTTGTTAAGATAGTTTAATTTTATTTAATTTTAGAAAATATAGCCCAATAACCATTTCGTATAAAGGCTGTGAAAATAAGCTTGCTGGTAATAAGTATGTGGCTAATGGATCGAAAACTATTATCAAATAATTGTCATTGTAAATTTTTGTTCAATTTAAAGTCTTGCCTAATTATAATTTTTAAATTAATTAATTAATTATTAATACATATTACATATCTGAAACCTTAACCACTAGATTACAAGTATATAATTTTTATTATATTTATATTATTTCTAAAATTAGTAGCATGTCCAAATACTACTGTTATATGTATTATAAAATGAATTAATTTGAAAGTAATCATTACTAATAGAGGAAGCTGACATATTATATAAGATACTTTTGATTTTAAAACTTCCCTTACTTACAATCATCAACATGGTCATCTAAGTAGACAAATATATGATCTATAGGTCTAGTTTGAATCTATAACTTAACATTTGTACTCCGGTTACTCGATTGTAAAAACATTTATGTTAAAATCTATGTTAAAATTTAAATTATGATATAATCAGGCGGTGCTAAAATTAAATGAACAATATTATTGTATATTAATTAAATGACTTCTATAAAAATATTTTGTTGCCTTAAATATAGTATATCATAATTATGATATATTTAAGGTTAGATATATTTTATGATTAATTATACTGTTATTGAGTTTATGAGGTTCACATTGTTATTATATCTATATTTTAAAATTATTTATAAATTTCTATCTATCATTGATATCTAAGATACTGTATATTGCTTGGTAACACTATAGATTCATTAATCATAACATAATTTGTGTATTACAACATATGCACTAATAATATAATAATTATATTGGGCAATAAATTTTAATATTAAAGTTTTTTAATGATAAAATCAATAATATCATTAAGATATCAAAACTTTTAATATCAAAAGACTTTATTATAAAATGATTAGATTTATTTTATTATTAATTATACTCTTACTGAGTTTATGAGTTTGACATTTCTATTATATTTAAATTATATCTATTATTGATATCTATAAAGTAGATAGATAATTAAGATATATTGCTTGGCAACACTATAGATTCATTAATCATAACATAATTTGTGTATTACAACATATGCACTAATAA